TTTTTTTTTTTTTTTTTTTTTTTTTGAAAATACTATAAATACTCACAAATTAATATATAAAAAGAAAATTTTTGATAGAATGAAATTGAGCCATCGAGATTTTCACCCTTAGAAATTTGACCATCATTTTCGTCATTTTTAAGTTTCAAGTAGTTCTTATGGTAGATTGCATCCGAGTCATTCAATGAAGTTGTAGAGTGCTCATTTTAGAACAAGGTTCCAAATCTTACTTCTAGATATTTTGATCAAATTAATCTAATTTATCTCTGGATTCATCCAAATTTTGGATGAGAAGGTGTTAATTTATTTGAATCAAGGGTTCTTGCTTCAACAAAAGTCTCGATGGTTGAGCTGAAATTCTGGCATCCTTTAGTCATTAAGTCTAAAGCATATCGTATAGCTTGTTTGTGAGAATTGTATTACAACTTCTAAAACATGTCGTATAGCTTGTCTGTAACAATTGTATTGCAACTCAATTGATCGTGAAATGAAATGACAAGTCGTGTTTGTTTTATTAAAACATTTGGAGATGGTATAAAATTAATTGAAATGAGAGCGGATAATTATTGTACAAATCAATTTTATACAGGTTTTTGGTTTCAATTATGCTAATAAATCTAGTGCAGGTTGAATTATAAACGACGTTAATTCTAAATTGTCATCTAGTGATGGATACTAGACGTCATTTACATGTGATGAGGTTTTTGGTTAAGAAACGATATCAGTTACAATCACCATCCATTCAGTATACAATGTGATCAACTAGCAACCGATATTATTTCAATCCATCATCATACGTGTATGTTGACACTGAGAATAATTTCGATTTTGAACGGGTTTTTATGTCGGTTGAAAACTAGCAATGTATGTTACGAAGACACTAGATTTGATATCAGCTAGAATCGAGAGTTAAAAGGAAAAACAGTTACGATTTTCACACCAATATTTATCATATTTAATGATATAGAAGCCAAATCATTCAATTACTCCATAATACATCATCAACTTTCTTAATAATTCAATTATTCCCCACTCCAAAACCTAAATCAAATTCTTTTTTTTTTTTTTTTAACAAAATTTAAAAAAAAAAACAGCACATAAATTAAACTAGTTGACCCATGCACAAAGCTGAGATCATACATTCTCCAATAATGCCATTTTCCATCTCATCTCTATTATGCTGCTTCCTTTTCTTCAAAGGGTACCTCTTTCTCCGCCTCTGGTTCGGCGTCGTCCTCGGCCTTGGCCGGTGCTGCAGCCTCAGGTTCGGCATCGTCCTCGGCCTTGGCAGGTGCTGCAGCCTCCTCAGGCTCAGCCATTGGTTTGACATCATCCTCAGCCTTGGCGGGTGCTGCAGCCTCCTCAGCCTCGGGTTCCACATCGTCCTCGGCCTTGGTGGGTGCTGCAGCCTCCTCAGGCTCCGCCTCTGGCTCAGCATCGTCCTCGGCCTTGGCAGGTGCTGCAGCCTCCTCACGCTCAGCCTCGGGTTCGGCATCGTCCTCGGCCTTGGCGGGTGCTGCAGCCTCCTCAGCCTCAGGTTCGGCATCGTCCTCAGCCTTGGCGGGTGCTGCAGCCTCCTTAGGCTCAGCCTCAGGCTCGGCATCGTCCTCGGCCTTGGCGGGTGCTGCAGCCTCCTCCGCCTCGGGTTCCGCATCGTCCTCAGCCTTGGCGGGTGCTGCAAACTCCTCAGCCTCTGCCTTCACCACCTCCGGCAAAGGTGTAGCTGCTGATTCAACCTACAAAACCCAATTGCTATAATATTCAACAAATTTATAAAAAAAAAAAAAAAAAACATGGTTTCAGTTGCATGTCCGATGAACACCCAAAAAAAAAAAAAAAATCAAAATTAAAAAGCTAAAAGCACAAAATTCTGATTAAAATGAACACAAACCCTCCATTTTGAAATGGGTATCCAATTTTTTCAAATGGGTACCCTAACATATCACTACTATCATCTAAATACGCTTAATTATAAAATTTTGATAGGACCTAGAACATCAGTACTAATACGATCATACAAACATACTCAATTATGAAAAATTAATGGGTCTAATGCATTAGCACTGATACGATCCCCAAGTTAAAGTTGGGTCGGGGAGGGATTGGGGCGAGATTTTTCTTACAAAACTTTTGAAGAGAGAGAAAAAGGGTTACCTCAATAGTGGCCATTAGAGAAGAATTGGGAGAGAAGGGAAGTGAGAGAGAGAGAGAGAGAGAGAGATGTTAGAGAGATGAGGAAATATGAATGGGAGAGAGAGGTATTTATAGGGGAGAGAGAGAGAGAGAGTGTTTGGGCAAAATATAAGGACATCGGTTTTGTCCAGTTGTAAATGTTTTCCCTTTTTCAATTATTAATTTACATTTTTTTTATTAATCTTTTTACAAAAATAAAATAAAATAAAATAAAATAACATATCTTTTCTTTTCAGTTGGTTTGCGTCTGTTTTGTTCTAATAATTTATAATTCTCTTTCTTTTTGCATGCAATTTCCGCCGCCCTCTTTCCCTTATGCCCCCCTCTATTTTTCCCTTTGCTGTTTGGTCCTTCTATTTTAATATTATTATTTTTAATTCCTATCTCTACTTTTCATTCAGGTCCCTACAATTATAATAAATAATCATTTTCGTCCTTCCATTTTTCATTTTTTATCTCATTTACATAATTTAAATATTATTTAATACCCTTCCCAATAATATAACTGAGTTATTTTTTTAATTATTTAAAAATATCATATTTTTTAGATATTTATAGGATTATATTTTATTATAATCCTATTTTTTCAACCACACAGTGACACTCTCACGACTAGGCTTAATGGAGATTATGCCTCATATATATTTTTCGCCTCGGCTTTGTTTGTGGCTTCATTAAACCATAGGTGAGGTTTGTCTTTGTCAATTGAACATCGCTTGTGTGGAATTCAAGCTTGTCCGTCTGCGCGTGCATGTTCAATCGTTTACGACACAACTGACTTGTCTCTACACTAGGCTAAGTCATTCGGTTCGACTTTGCCTCTGTTCAAACCAAGGTCTCTCAACGCACCATCACGTCTCATCTTGTCTCCATCAACATGGCCCATATGTCTCAACGACACTCCGAGTTGAGAGAACTTGATGTAAAAAAAAAAAAAATCCTATTCCGTCTCCGTCTTTGACCCATGAACATCAGTAATGGGAACGACCAATAGCAAACCGATGTAGATCTTGCATGTGGGTCCCGTAGACCTGTCTGCTGACGTGGCTTTATTATTATTCTATTTTTTTAGTTTGCCAACTTGGTAATTTTTTGACGGGGAGTAGAGAGGAAAGCCGACTCCATTTCCATTCCACGGGATGAGAAATCTAGGGGACCACATGTAGCTGTCTGCCAGATCGGATGCTGGTGTCATGGGACCCACATAGCCGCCCCTCTACTGTGCCACGTCAGATCTCAGTCATCGGTTTGATCCGTGGCCACGATCCCATAATAAAATAAAAAAAATCCGATTATTCTTTTAATCGGATTATTATAAGAGATTCTTCATTGCACCCAGTGGTGGGGTACTGGGATCAAATTAAAATTAATTTATATACTTTATAAATACACGTCAAAATAAAAATAAAAATTTATTTATTAATCACAATATATAAATAAATAAATAAATTTAAGATCTGGAGAGTAAAAGTAACTTAATTATAAGAAATTGAAATATCCCCAAATTCGAAATATTTTATTAAATTTGAATTTCCAGCATGAATCAATTATAATCTACTTGTTCTTAGTAGAAAAAGAAAGAATAGGAACGGGTGGATATATTTCTCAAAAAAAAAAAAAGGACAAAATATAAATCAAGGATCGATTAACCAAACCCTGTTTGGGATTTTCTGGGAAATAAATAAATATATTTTATATTATAAAATTTGAAAGAAAAAATTGATATGGGTGTATATTAGAGTATTAGAAAGGGAAAAAAAGGAAGAATAATTAATTCTAAAAGTCAAAAGAAATATAAATATATTTTGAGTAAATTTATAGCATCAAAAATATATTAAAATCGGTTATATTGAGTTGATAGAAATAGTTATTTTGGAAAGTAATAACCAAAATGATATCTGAGAGAAAGAATTACAAATATATGATGTCTATAAAAAGAATAATAAAAATGATTTGGAAAGGGACATTTTATTAAATATGCATTTTTAAAAATGTAGATTCAAATCCTTAATTCTGATGTCAGCTATTTAGAACAGGTTTGGATGTATTTTTAAATTCTATTTCGTAAAATTCTCTTTTTAAACCCTTTCCTTTTAAATTTTTTAAAATTCAAACCTCAAACTCAAATAAATTATTGATTTTCATCCTATTACAATTTTTAATTTAGCCCATAAAATTTGAAAGTATCGTAGTCAAATCATCGAATACTATATAATTTATGGCTAATCTTAGATTGAATCAAAACGCACGCCTGGGAGAGAATTGAATGAAACTAAATTGCTCCCTAAGAACGGTCAGTTTGAACGATTATTTTTAACTCATAAAATTCTTGTTTCTAACCATTGATTAATCAAATTATTGGTTTACTTCAATATACATCAAAATATTTGTGTGTTCAAGGTGATATGTTCTTCATAACCAAGCTCCAAATACATCTATGTAAGAACAGGGGCAGGGAAATCAATATCAAATTTGTTCAGTCCTAAATCAAAGAAAAAGTGATAAAATCAATACATTGAGACATGATTTAAGATCCAAAAATGTTTGGTATAATGGAAAAATGCAATAAAAAGAAGAAAAAAAATAAAATAAAGTGATATTCATAATGATGGGCACACCTTGTTGTACCTGAATAAACCATAATATTATCATCCCACATGACAGACTGGCTGGAAGCAGGTGGTGAGTTGCTTTCATGATGCCGCCTTGTTGTCCATGTTGGATTTGCAAATGTTGTGGTCGGGTTCCAATAAGAATCGATTCCTTTGGGATCATCAATCATGTTGTGTTGCCTTTAATGGCTTTAGAGGAGAGAAAGAAAAGCAATTGGAAGCTGGTGATCTTGGGGGACACTACTAAAACATTGTGTAATGAATGACCTGACCTGACCCCCACCTCCTCCTATCTCGCTCCTTTTGAATTCTGCCAAATGAAAGGCAATAACTGAAGAAACATGGTTGGGCCACTAGAAAGAGCATGCTTTCCCTAGGAAGAACACTATGGAGGGAGGGATTGTTGAATCAAGTGTTCAATCAGAGCAGGCAGCTTTTACTAAAAGGTATATCAGCCACTGCTGTCCATGGGAAGTTTCGCAGAAGGAATCTTCCTTTTCTCTTTCTTTCACTATGAATAAAGCTTCTAACAGTAGACATTTGTCCACATTTTGAATGGGGAAATGGTGGGAAAGATTTTGTAGGTTCCGAGAAGCAATGAGTTCAGATCTCCAAATTCAGTCCAAATACAATCAGGGGATAAACTGAACAACATATTTGTATATGGCCTGTAGTGTGCGTGTGCATACTCTGCAAGTAGTGTGCGTGTGCACTGACTCATACTCTAAGAGTAGGGTGCGTGTGCGGGTGTTGACTCATACTCTAAGAGTAGGGTGCGTGTGTGCGTGCGGGTGTTGACTCATACTCTAAGAGTAGAGTGCGTGTGTGTGTGCATGTGCGGGTGCATTGACTCATACTTTAAGAGTAGTGTGCATGTGCGGGTGCATTGACTCATACTCTAAGAGTAGTGTGCATGTGTGGGTGCATTGACTCATACTCTAAGAGTAGTAAGAGTAGTGTGCGTGTGCGGGTGCATCGACTCATACTCTAAGAGTGTGTGCGGGTGGGTGAAAGAGAGAGACTTATATTCCCTCCAGCAAATTTTCAACGTCATTATTGCATTCCATCTTTAAACGGTATCCTTATAAGAATTGATTGTGCATGACTTGGAAAATTCCTATTAGTTGTCTAAAAATAATTTAGTGTTACAGTATCCATGGTTGATGAAAACAGATTTCTATGTTTCACAACAATCCCAAAAAAAAAAGTACCTAAATCATAACAACCAGAGAAGATATACTAGTAGAAGACCTGTGAGAGAAACCGATCAGCTGACGATCTTTCTCAACACAGCTTCAGCGCGATGCTCAAACTTGGGTAAGACCCATTCATGCTGCACTATGTCTAAGTTGTCTTTCTCGGCACTCAACCCCTGGCAAGAAAATGCAATACCATTAAGATCAGCAGAAGAGTAGAGATTTTGAATAATGATCAATTCAAGGTTCACAAAGGTTGTCGATCAATTAACAATTAAACTAAATATTAGAATAGAGATTTGATATAGATGGACTACAAAGAACATCGAGTAGTGTTGGTCTAGGTTTACTTTGAAACAACGGCCTAAATGACCACTAGCCAGTAACGTACAAATGATTGACCCAATAAAGAGTTGGCAAAGAAGGAATCACTGAGGCCCAGATTTTAAGGAATAAAGTATTTCCTAGAACCCTATAAAGTGAGTTGCTTAAAGTTGAAAATCAATTAGAACATCGAAGACAATTCGCACATCCCACTGGTATAATCAATCAAATTTGGTTGAAGCATCTGAGCAATTGCTGTGACAAAAATGTATAATGAGGTTTCGGATGGAGCTTCGTTTACACCTAGGATGCAAGGACGTAACGAAGTTTAAGATCCTAGCTTATAAGGGCACATCAAGCAGGTAACATAGCGACAAATGAGCCTTAAATATAAAAGTAAAATAAGAGGAGAATGACGGGACCTACATTATACATTTTGAAACACTGCACCAACAAGATGTTTGTTTGCAAATTAAAAAATAAGCATTTTGTCAAGTTTTCAACTTCAGTGCTTTTCAGTGATATTAATTCCAAGTCAATGAGCAATAGGGAAGTCAGGATAACTAAAAGCTTGTCCAGTCTACAACCAGAAAGATGTAGGGTAATCACAAACAAAGGATCAATGGGCAGGCAGGCCAAGAACCACCTGTATCTCCAGTTCTGGCTTGAAATCTATAATGTTTATTTATCCCCATTTCAAAAGCAATACAATTTACCATTTCAACCACAATTACATGTCCTTCCAGCCCCAAATGTTATCTTGATCCTCCAATTCATATCGTTTCCTTCTCTCTGCCAGATTGTGCAAATCAAACTAGAAAAAAAAGAGACCAAAATGCAACTGGTGATACTATATTCCAATATATCTTGTCATAGTCTAGTCATTCACCCACGAAAGTATTCTAACACTTAAAAGAAAACCAGGCTTCTTCAGAACATAC